AAAAAATATATTTATTAGATTTTTAATTTGTATATTAAGGATAAAGATTAGACAAACCCATTTTACAAGTTGCATTAATTGTAGTAGACCATCATACAATTTGGCGATAAATTATTTGAATAATTAATGGTGCATTTATTACATCTTTTTACCATTATTTATATAATTTTTAATACTATTGTCACACAAAACGATTTAATTGAATAAACTTTATTTTTAATACTATTGTTACATAAAACGATTTAATTGAATAATTAATAAAAGTTAAGTCAACGTCGATATTTTCTATATAAATTAAAGAAAAAAAGTATAATATATAAATACACTTTTAACGTATATATTAAATGCCCAAGTCAGAAAATTTTATTATTATTTTCAACTAGTACATGCATGTTCTCTCACGTTTTAAGATAAATAGTTTTCGTATTTCACTTGTTTATTATTAATTTGTATGAAAAATTATAAAAATAAAATTTATTTTCAATACTAATGTTAAATGAAATTATTTAACTAAATAATTTATACAATTAAAATCAAATTTTTTTTATAAAAATTAGTAACAAAAATATGTAATAAATATACCCTTTTAAGGTACAGGTTAAAAAAATTTCTAAGTTTAAAAATCGAATTTCCTCTCCACCAATATCTGAAATTAAAAAGAAAAAGTTACTAACCCAATTGTCTCAATTTATAAAATGTAAGGACCAGTTGAACCATGCCCAAAATATTAGTCAAATTTACTCAAGTAAACGTACCGTGGTGACTATAGCTGGAGCGGCGGGGACGCTCGGGCTTGGGGACGGGGGAGCGTCCCAGCCGCAACGCCGTTGACAAAATCAATTCAAACGACGGTGGTTAAAAGGTGAAAAAAATGAAACCAGGACACCTATTTCATTTTTTTTCAACTGAGGCTAAAAAACCAGGACACCTATTTCTTTTTTTTCTTTTTTTTTTGAACACGAGGTGGAATTCGAATCCTTCACTTCTATTGTGATGAGATGATTCTTAACAAAGCATAGGCGGCCACTTACCACAAGGACTTTAGACTTTTCACCACACCTATTCTTCCGAATGGCACACAAAGAGATTATTATTATTACCCCTATTATTAAAGCGCCATTTAGCTTGCTTATTGTTATTAGATTTTGAATTTGATTTTTAAAATTTAAATAATTACAACTAATAATTAAAAATTAAAA